TCATGCAGAGAAAGATCCTTGATTTGTATTGGTCAAATTTCTCATTGATGGGAAATATAGCTGGAGAACAACAGAAGGGCTGAAGTAACTAGCTGCTTTTTGATAGGGATTATTCACTCCTAAAACAATGCAGCTGACACCACATTCGTCACAAGCTCTCCCACAACACCAAACAACCAAATATTCACAACCGCTATGACAATACTCCCATTCAGTGTGAATGACCAGGGAACGCAACACCGCGCTGCACGTGTAATTGAACAAGATGGTTACGCTGATGAACTAAGACTCATAGAGGCACGCCGTCCCTCTGTCAGCAGGTGCCCGGCACACACTGGCCCATTCATATGCGCATTCCTGTCTCTCCACTCGCAGCCCAGCAGGTTCCTCCCGGCCACTCAGGACAGGGGCTGACGCACACAAAGGGTCTTCAATCTGCCTCAGACAACAGGCAGCATAAAGGCCCGGAAAGCCACAACAGCGCTGTGTCAAAGAGCAGGCTGGGGGTAGTGAGCAGAGTTTGGGGGGGCCCTGTGTAGAACAGGGGCTCCGCTGATGGATGGATGAGGGCTGGGCCCAAACAACGTATAGTGGAAGGCCTGTCTGAGGTTTTTCAGCATAAAGGAGGATATTTGTACTTGCCCAGTAACAATGGAATGCAAACACGAGAAGCAAGGACAATAAAACACCACTTTGGGGCGATGAAGAAGCTGCTAGGGAAATCGTCATGCAAAGCATCCTTGCAGGCAGATATTGTTCACTCTAAGGATTGCATGACTCTCTGTTTGTTCCCATGTTGATGCGTGGCTTAGCCTGCCTTCAGTTTGCTTTTGCATAGGGTATTCCTGGCTTTAACAGTGTCCGGCATATTTCCTTACGCTGAAAGGAAGTGAGGAGTGAGCAGAAATGCCCCACCTCATCTTAAAACAGACCTGTGTTTGGACTACACGCATCCTAGCAAAAGTTCAACTGACTTTAAATGATATGTGGCCCTGGTCCTGATCTCTAATAATGTAAATTATCTCATTTTTAGCATTTTCTTACAAATGAAAACTAGCTGTACTGTATAATTATTAATACAAATCATAAACTTCATTTTATAGCCTTTCCTGTCGGCAAGTTGCCTATATGTTTCTTGAGCTACCATGGCATGAACACATCACTGCGACAAGTTAATGATTAATGATTCAAGCTTTTTCAAATTAGCGCCACAAAATAAAAGTTCTGCTTTCATTTGCTTATGTGTGCCAGTAAACCAGTCTGACAGTGTGGACAGAATGGCTCCCCTTTGCTGCTATAAACAACCAAAGACTACGTTTTATTGTTTTGTTTTTTCCCTCTCTCTCTCATCTGTTTTGCACAAATTTTACCACCCAAAGCTTTTACTGTGCAGACTGGGGTGAAGCGTCTCAGATATATCAGGCAGGTCTTATCATCCGAAGAAAACAATATGCAACCGAAAGAATAAACAATCTCCATATGTTATGACTACTGCCAAGGCTTTCTTGTCTTCTGTGGAACTTTTCTAAATCATTAACAGCTTGTTGCACATCCCAAGGGAACTCTTTATCAGTGACACAAAGAGAAGTGTCTATAAAAGATCTGGTTTCTGTTGCATCAAAGATCGTATCAAGGTTGTGTTTTGATGCTCTGAACTCGTAAGATGTGGCTGATGGCAGCATATGCACATTTTACTCTCACTATTAGTTACCCTAATACACATGCTTGGGGTTGTCTCTGGTATGTTTGCAGTTGTCAGATCCACACTCCATCTGCTACAGTCAGCAGCTCCACTTTGAAGCTGCAAGATAGTTTGAGCTCAAAGTACATTTTACAAAAAAAGATGGTAAAGATATTTTAGAAGAATATTTTTTAAATAATAGTTTTTTCTTGCCCAATAGTTTGGTGAGCACATTTAAAGGCCAACCACTTTCATGTCTGTAAGTGAAATAAATCGTCAACTGACTGCAGAGGATTAGCTCAGCTTAAAGGGGCCCTGTGATGCTCATTCTCAGATGCATATTTGTAATGTGTTCCTCACAGTGACAGATTTTCCTTCTTTAATATTCAAAAAGGTCTTTATTTTTCTCATACTGCCTGTACCTCTTTTCACCCTCTGTCTGAAACCAGAGCCCAGTCTGCTCTGATTGGTTAGCTGGTCGGCTCTGTTGTGATTGGACAACAGCCTAGAGATGTCCTTTCCCTTATAGCCTATCACGTACAATGTGATGGAGTGCTAGCTAATAGGAGCGTGAGTGTTACGTAGTGACATCATCATGCTATGGAACAGAAAATGTACTTGCTTAACTTCATACAAAGTAACAAATGCTGACCACGTGCACCTCTGTAGATGCTGATTAAAAGAGTGTGTAAAAAAGTGTTACATTCTTTGTCCACTAAAATTGAGGTTGCAGTTCGCAACCAGCTGAATACATCACTTTTCCTAGTGTGTTGAAGACAAAATGGCCTTCAGGTAACATAGAAGATTAAGTTGTGCCCTCGGGGGTCACTTCTGCAGAATTGCCAAAAACTGCAGTTGATGGAATGAGCACATGGCTATAGTCCCCATGTCAGAAATAACAAACTTTACAGGAGAAATATATATATTTACAACCTGATTAATAAAAATGAATGTAACGAATACTCTTTGAATTTGGAGTGTTGTGCATTAAGAAAGATCTTGCTTTCTAAATAAAGTACAGTAAAAGAGCCTGTACACATTCAGAGCAGAAGTATCTTTATCTGAAGCAAAGTTGTTGTGTTTATGTGTGACTCCTTAGTACTGGTATTTAAAATACTTAATGTGTCTCTCCAATAAGGTGAATGTAAAGCCACCTCATTTTGCGAATGTGTGTAACATCGATCTTGCACATTGCATGGAAGATGAAAGGCAAACACATGTTGAAAGATAAATCTGTTTCTTTGTCACCCCCTTCTTTTAATCAAACTACCACGCCAGGCCTCATATGTCTCGGCAGCTTCAGTCGTCAATCATTTGTCAAGTGTGACATGAAATCAAAGACCATATGAGCTCCTCGGATATGAACTATGTGTTTGATCAGGCTGTGCAAACTTGTGTTTGTGCTGAGCTAGCAGATACATTTGAAATTCTGATGCTCTTTGAAATGCTGCCAAAGCATATGATCTTTACGCCAGCACAATAAAGCCATTTTATATCTTGCTTTGAATAGGAAGTTGATGAAAGTGCTTACGTTGTGTCAGTTAATTCATATTCATTTTGGTAATCTGGATCCCTGCAAGTAACACATTTTTCTCCTTCGATACACACTCATCATATCCTGCACCCTTTCAGCGAGCAAACATCTTTTTACACTGTCTTTACACGTCTCAACTTGTGCTCTTTTGGTGTAAAAGCAACTTTTTAACGTATCATATACTTTTAAAAGAGCTCAACTTGCTTTTAGTTCTTGAATTCCTTGAAACATTTACATTTGAGGAAATATAATTAAGGTCTTAAACGCTTTTGAAGAATGGATATTTTAGGTATTTTGAGATTTTCCCTGTGAGCCTTTGGATTTGGATAAATGAAATAAACATGTATTGTTCTTTGTTCTTTTATCAATGATCCAAACGTGTCTTTTTAAAGTAAAAGTGGTGTTTGATCAACTCTTCTGTGACCTTTATAGTGAGTCTGTCGGTGATGTTCGAGTTACTTTATTTAACTGTAGTTTGTTATTTATTTTATAAACTGTATATCTTACATATTGTCTATATATTTAAAGTAACTATGTTGTATTCAGGACTTAGCTGTGTAGTTGGCAATTAATTTATGTAGTCAATTTCCACTATGGTAGTTGAAATGTAACCCAGGAGCACTATCATTATTTATAGTCTCCATAATTAGCCTGTGTATGGTGATCTCACAATGCAAAGAGCGTTGTGTGGAGAGTTGGTGGAGCTCTGGTGCTTCGGATGGCAGGGGGAGCCAGGTTTCTACAGGGAGACCTGAGTCAAGCCTGAAAATAAAATCCTGAATAATGCCGGAATTCAGAATGATTAAACTTTCAAAATAAAAGCCACTCTTTCGTCATAAAGGGAGGGGGGATATAAGCATTTGTGTGGAGTAAAACGACCATGATCTTACCACACGATGCATTGAATATCGATATGTTGTGGGGGGGAAATCATATAATACAATATACTAATACAGTGCACAATATTTCCTGGTGAATTTACATTCTTAGGCTCGGAGAGGTTGGTTAAGAAACAATAACTTTATGGAAATGTTCAAAAATATTTATACTATAAAATATAGATGCTGCTATAGAATATTTTACATTAAAATGGAACCAGTGTCCTCCATGTGACGATTGTGTTGGCTTTTCTAAATAAAATGAAAATAAATAAATAAAAACCCGCATAGAACCATTTTAAAGAAGAATACATTTATTCTAAAAGTATTTATTTATGATATATATATTTTTTAAACAATATGTTTATACATTTTTCATTATTTTAAACAACAAGACACGCCATACCTTACACATACTTAATATGTGATTTATTGATTTAAATCTTGAGGTAAAACCTGAAGAAAATGTAAGTGGCAAGAGTTTTTCTGAAACAAGTAACAACATAAAGGTAGAGTTGGCTCTCCTGTTGATGTAATGCCCCTTTTTCCGATTTGAAAAACCACCACAAATAATTTCAATAATTTCCCCCATGTTAATATTCCACACTTCCTCTTTTAATCTTAACAAAGGTAAAAGCAGTTTAACCTTTACATGCTTCACAATTATCTGTATTAGTATTATGAATGGGAGCCTTTTGAAGATAACCTAAGCATTTCTCAAACAAAAAATTGCAAATAAGCAAGTTAACAGCAATCTGTTTATCCAAAAAGTCCAAAAGCATCAAGCAAAATTCTGCTTCTTGTCGTCTTTTATTTTGTGGTCAGAGACCGGAAGTGGACCGCGTCGCTGCCTCTGTGCTGACAGCGATCCGGAGGATGCGCATATTCTCAGATTTAAGGGGGGAGGTTTGGAGCAGCCCAGACTCTCGTTGTTCAACAGCATTTCTCCGCCAGGAATCGTCAAAATACTTTTTAGGGATTCATTTAAGTACCAATGTTGTGTAGAAAACAACTCCAGGTTACATGGTGTTTTCGTTCGTCTTGTTACAGTTAGTTGAACAACTTTAGGAGACAGTTTTCGGAGGTGAGGAGACCTCATTTCATCGCGTAAGAAACATTTTGGGATAAAGAGCCTACGGACCCGCACGGGCTGCCCTCAGCCTGGTTGTCTCAGTTCAAAGGTGTGCGCTAGAAAGAAGTTAATCGAGGAAACGCTAAAACACATTTTCGTTACATTGTTTCGGATTTTTTTCTCCTCTCTTTGATTATTTGCGTTTTTTCAGAGTTGGGACACACATTCTGTGTTTTCCTTCGCACAAGTTTTGCAAAAACATGTGCGATTGTTTTAACAAAACAACGATATCTTGGACTTAGTGAGGCTCGGTAGCGCACCACGCATTTGAGTCTGGATATACTGTTTTGGGGAAGTTTTTCTGCATCAAATCTGAGCTCCGGAGTCTTATCTGTCCAACACTGGCTGTTTCACAGCCCCCCGCCAGTAAGGTGAGTTGGTTTCTTATTATCCCTCAACGCTTTGATTTTACTTCACTACACTGGGTGTTTACATGCTAAATGTTTGATGTTGTCCTCCTTTGTGCTCGTTGTATTTACAGAATACAAGAACTCCTTGTCTTAAAAGTACGGCTCTCAAATTGACAAGCAGTTGATTTATTTATAGGCCTAGAACCACGTTTTATTAAAAAAAATATTGTTGAGTTCTGGAAAATAGAAAATCTGCCTGTTCAAGTACGTTTGTTGGCTTTTTAGAGAGATGTTTAGACCCAGTTTCATGCGTAGTAACACCTAATTCACCTCTATGCTTAACACATGAAAGGGGGCCAACAGTAAGGCCCAAATGTTGCCTGCAGTCCTGCTAGTTTTCTATCTAAAAGACCCATCAGGCGCCTTTTATCAGATGAAATAGCTTACTTGAATTAATTCTACCAACACGAAGAGTCACATCTAGAAATCCACTTTTCAAACTGCAATTCTCAAACCACAGTTTGGCTTCATTGAGAACTTTTCTTTCTTGTGTGAGTGGTTCTTGAGACACTAATCATACTTATTCATGCCTTTAGCCCTGTCTATTTATCTCAAAGGCTTATCAGAATGAGCTAAAATAACAAGCAAAGTTCAATTAACATCTTGTTCTATCTCCCCTTTCATGGGACAGCTTAATTATTGCGACATGCAGGGAAGTAACTAACATCTCTAAACTTTCAGAGGACGGCTATCATTACTACATCTGTCATGAAGTCTGGGTCTGTAGGGGCCAGTCTGATGTTATGTAAAGCTCTAAATGTTATGATATGAAGGGAGAGGGAGAAGATGGATGATTTAGAAAAGCAGCATGTCCACAGGGAGTTCACCATGAGGAAAAAAGGTTTTCTCCTGAACCATATAATGGGAAGTGAGGAGTAGTCAGTCCTGCCCTTTAATTTACTAGGCTGCTCCCCTGACACAGGGTTATTTGCCTTGGACTCTAACTTTAAGATTGTTAATTACAACTAAATCCATCAAGAAATATTCCCTTGCAAGCTGTGTAGAACGTACATTTTACGAAAAATAAGATTTTAGTTAGCCATCCTTTTTAGATTGTAGTGTTTTCAACATGGTTAAGGCAGCACATTCAATTGTGTGTGCATTTGTTCATTTTTGAGCTTTTATGCAGATTTTATTCCAGATAAATCATGCGCATGTTGATAACAGCTCCAGTGTTAGAGTTGTGTTTCCAGATCTACCTCCCTTGAGAAAACATACACATTTATGCATACTGAGAGACTTTGGCTGCAACCAAATGGCAGCGTGTCGGATGGCCTGATGTTGATGGTCTTTACATTTGAGTGTAATCTCATGACACCTGATCTCCCCCCATGGCACACTGGTGGAAAACCACTGATTCAGTTTGTGAGGCTGCAGAGAAAAACCCTAGAAGTGTCTTGTTTTTCTGAAAACAGTAGCCTCGGGGAGATGGTCTGATGCTCTTGTGTCCTCTGAGCTGCAGACTGGTTGTTTGGCTGAGAGTGCAGGGGGCTCCACAATCTGGGAGCTGAGGAATTTTATGCATGGATGGCGGTGAACAGTAATTATGGTGCGGGCCATGTTATGGGTTAGGCCTCTAACCTTTGTCTTTGTATAATGAGAGAAGCTAAATATGTCTTGCGTGTTCTAATCCGTTTAGTTGAACTCCCTTTTATTTGCCAGCTTTTCACTGAAGAGCTCACAAAAACAAGTGTGATTTTTCTCAAACATGTGATTTTGTACATGATTCTTTATGCAGTGAATAGTGCTAATCCTTCAATAGGCACGCTTTTTTCCTTTTTCTGAGCAGTCACTGTTCATCAGCTACGGATCATTCTCAGTTGTATGCACCTTTTTAATCCTTGTGTGTTATACATTTAAAAGCAAAGCATTTTACAGCATACTGAAATATCTTAGCCACTAAACTCAGAAACTATTTTTCATTTTTCACCAGAACTACACTTAACAAAAATGAAAAGGTTAAGACAGAGGGAAACAAGATGATTGTGCATTACAAAGACCATTCAAACACTAAATCTATGAATATATTCTAGTTAAGCATTATATAAATGTAATTTCCTAATGATTAGGTGTATTTCAGTCTAGTCTACAGCCCCTTGTGGGTTATGAGTTTCCTGTTTTTGTCTGTGAGCAAGTCTGGTTTTAGTGAAGACTGTTTAATCCATCAAAAGCAGTTGATTTGTTTACTGTTCACAGTAACAGACTGTGAGATATGTTTCTCATCACTTGGTCCCCTGTCTTATTTTGGTTCATCATCACTTAAACAATATAGGTGGTATGAAAGGGAATAATACAAATACTATTTGGTAAGGGGTCACTGCTTTGGTTATTGTGTCCTGAGGCAGTATATTTTACCATTGAACAAGATCTGACAATAAGTACCAAGCAAAAGTAACTACTGAAGTATTCATATTTGAGAACAGCAGTCTTTCAAACGTTTTTGATTTGAACAGGATTTTACAGAAAACAAACTTTGTGACAATTACACCGTTTCTTAATGACCTTAAACCTAATTTAGGATTCCTGTGCTGCACTTATCGTCCGACCATTCCACATTGTCTGCAATTAGCTCAAATTGGCCCGGGTGATACAGTATGTCGGTCTAGCTCTTTTTTTTTATCTGAATAAGAACTACACTTAAATCAGACGAAATGGGAACCAGAAGTTCAGCACATTCTTTTTGCTGATATTAATATCCTAAGGAAGTAAAAACCAGTCTCGACTCAAATACTCCCAAGTTCAAGATGAGCGTGCCCCGTGTGTGGATAGTAAAGACACACTGTTGGTTTAACTCTTGCTCCCATGGGAGCAGAAGATGACAAAGTGTTGTGTCATGATTTGAAGAAGCTACTTCCTCCCCTCTCAATTATTGACGGTCCTCGCGGTGACGAGGGCCAAGGGGAGTGCGGCCGCTCTGCGCTTCCTTCTGTCCGCTGTCAGAAGCACTTCTTTTTTTTGGAGCTATCCCAAAACACTGACTCACTGCTTACAGAGCCGCAATGACCAAGCTTCTTTATCCCCCTCGGGCCCCCCTGACCCAGCTCAGCTGCTAGAACACTAGGCCATTCTTGGAAAGTGAAATTGAATTGGTTTTGAGGAGAACACAATGTCTGTTTCAGTTATGAACACTCACACAAGCGGTTACATCTTAAAGGAAACCACAGCTGCATCTGAACATGACTTTGTGTGAAAACCTAAACCGAGTTGGGGTTTCTCTCACCCAGATGTTGCTATGATATCTCATTTATGACTCTATTTATTAAGAGCTGGGCGATCATATCTCACTATATCGATATTAAAGGGTTGACCATTGAGGCCTTCACAAAATATGAACACAGTGGGATAGTTGATAAATAATATGAATATAATGATAATGCGGGTTGAAGGCAAATCATATTACAGCTACAACAGTCTGGTAAATAAAATAAAAAGCATCACTTTACTGTTACGCTGCCCTTAAACCCAGGAAAAGACAACACTTATGATATTACTGTATCAGAAATCTAAGACAACATCTAGTCTAGCATCGCGATATCAACATAATATTGATGTGTTTCCCAGCCCTACGTTGAATAGAAAAAAAACAGCATTATGTACATTTTTTTTCTTTTTTTAAACGGCATCATGTAAGTTGCGCTGACAGGCGACAGAGGTCCACAGTTGCCCCGCAGCGAGGCTCCTCCCGTAGACAGGACACAAGCTCAGTCACTTCGTAACACCAAAGATGGGTCGCGGTAAATGCTCTAAAGTGAGGCTCCTCTACACTAAAAAAGAAAAAGACAAGGCACAGTGTAATGCCTGTTAATAGCTTGCAACAGGCATAGCTCAGTTAAAATAAAGCACAGCTATTGTGCAATACATTTATATTGCATGTATATTTTTTATTTGTAAACATTTCAGTAAAAGCTTAAAAGAATAAAGATATTTTTGTTATCTAAACGTTTGACCTCTTTCTTTAACAATTTTGGAATCGATAAGAACCGGAATCGATAAGCAGAACCGGAATGGGAATCGATACATTTCAAACGATACCCATCCCTAATTATGGCGCATTTCCACTACAGGGCCTCGCTCGGTATGGCTGAACCACAGAAAAACAACATCAGCCGTTAGCTGTTAGCACTCAAGCTCACAGCTCCTCATATCTGTTCAGAAAGTAGACAAAAGTTAAACAAGTACAAACCCACAGACTGTCTGTGTCATGGCGAATACAGGTCGCTTGTTTATTTATGTCTGTGTAGGCCGTGTGAGGTGGGACGGTCGGAGCATACTGCGTGAGCTTAGCCGCTCTCCCATTCAGAGGACACGGCATTTTAAAAGGTTT